GGTAATTCTGCCTGCCAGGCTAACGGTAATTCTGCCTGCCAGGCTAATGGTAATTCTGCCAGGCTAACGGTAATTCTGCCAAGCTAATGGTAATTCTGCCAGGCTAATGGTAATTCTGCCAGGCTAACGGTAATTTTGCCATGCTAACAGTAATTCTGTTAGGCTGTTTGTGCTGCTGTTCAGCGTATTGTTTTTGTACTACTAGTGCTTAGCGTATTTTTAGTTAACATTTTTCTTAGTTCATATCTTAGAACTTATTACTGTTTTACTTTTACATTTTATACTTTTGTTGGATGTAACTGGAACTAGAGCTATCATTTCTAACCTGAAACCCGGCCCGGACCGACCCGAATTAGGCCTGGGCCATTACAATGTGATTAATGGGTGGGCCGGGCCGGTCTCGGGCTTTTAATTAGGTCAGGATCAGCCGCAATCCAATTATATGCTTACATGGCCTGCCATACATATACCAGCCACACACTGTCATTTCACCTCGAACTGACCGGCCTTGAAAGAGTAAAAAAGTTCAGTTAAGCTTCAGATGGGACTGTACTGCCAGGAAGTGATCCATCTCCCAAATGGATGTTCATTCTGCCGCTGCACTCAGCGGACGTGCGCAGCCAACGACTCAAATAGGTGAGACCCCAAAGCAGACGTGTCAGAGCTGTCCGTGGCACACGTCTCAGTAATTCAGAAGAATTCAGCAGAAACAGGTTTAAATGTTTTTATGGCTGTGAAAGTACAAACACCTCTCGGCTCCGAATCTTCCGACACATTTATTCAGCTGCACGTCCCCGACCGTTAATAACTAATTAAAAATGTCTGGGTTTTCCGGGTTTGGACCTGTAATTACTGTTAATTTGTCGGGTCAGATCGTATTTTTTGGGCTTGATTGCAACTAACTGGGACCCTGTGTACACAATTTGGTTCCACCACATGTACCACATGTGGTGCATACGACAAATCACGAACCTTGAACCCTAACAGTAATTCTGCAAGACCAGCTACTTTGAGAGGAATTCAGTTCTGGTCTAAATCCAGTGGTTTAGACTTCCCAAAAAAAAAGACTGTTATTTGGTCTAGATTAAATGAAATGCTGTTTCTTCATTCAAAGTTTTGATTTCTGTCAAATAATTCAAATAGCGGGTGGAACATCTTGTCCAGTGGACATGTTTCTTCCTCAGTTTCAAAGAATCAGACAAACCAGGTTTCCTCTGGCTCTGGCTGTTTAATCCGGTAAAGGTTTTTATATTTCTGAACTGCTTCTCTTTGCCGCGTTACTCCGAGATGATTTTGTCGATTTAAATTCCATTTACCTCCTAAATGTCAAATTTTAAAACGGAGAGGAAAAACAACCCCGTTAAAGCTCACCGAGCAGATGAGCGATCATCTAATTGTTTTTCCGGAGATTTAAAGTTTACAGAATTCATCGAGGCAGGAAGTGATCGTTCTGATGAGAAAAACATTCAGCTCGTCACTTTGAAGGGTTTTTCTTTTCTTTCATTATTTTTCTGAACAGAACCTCTGAGTCACAGAACGAGACAATAACCTTCAGCTGTTGTCACTTGACCCACGTGTGCCGACGCCCTCGGCTCCTTTTTCTGCAGCACACAAAGTGTCGCTCGCCTCATTTCCAGCTGACAGATGCCCACAGGTCGTCACTGACCATCGCTCTCTGATAACAGAGGCAATCAGACCCGGTCCAGTCCCACTGCCGTCACTAACATCACTCTCCCTGTGTGCAGTTTGCAGTGGCAGGTTCCACTGACCGTCGCCGTGGGAAACTCATCGTCCGTCTGCTCGGAGAGCCTCATCTGGATCAACAACAGGACAGGTAGAGTTGTTGAAGCGAGCCGCCACGCACCCAGCAGCTCCATAAAGGCTTATTTTCCACCTGTGACTTAATTATCTTGTACTTGGAGTTAACGACCTGTTACCTGGGGAGGATTTGTTAACAGAGCAAGCGAGCCAATTAATTAACGAGGCAGACTCCACGTGTGTGACGAGTTTTAATGATGGAGATGTGGCGGGAATCATCCAAGCTGTTGGTCAAAGATTTCGCTGTCATCTAAAGCAGTGGTTCCCAACCCTGGTCCTTGAGGAACACCATCCTGCATGTTTTAGTTTCCCTGCTCCAGCACACCTGGTTCAGAGACTTAATTACTTCCTCATGTTCTGCAGAACCCTGTGCATCACCCATTTATTAAAATCAGGTGTGTCGGAGCAGAGAAGCAACTAAAACATGCAGGATGGTGTTCCTCAAGGACCAGGGTTGGGAACCCCTGATCTAACCGATAGTTTCTTGTTTTGTTCTTTAACTTTTTTAATTTATTTTGAAGGGGGGGGGGGGGGTACTTTTATTGGGAATAAAATCCCCTCATAGGGTTTTGTGCTGCTTTGAAATAAGCAACAAATCTCTCCTAATAAACTTTCTGTTGTTTTGACTCGTGTTTTTGTGGAATCAGACCCTCCGGGGGATTTTACAGACAAAAGCTGATTGTGTTTTGTTGAACACAACATTTTGAAAAATCAATCCTGAACTGCTTATGTTGGGTTTTATAGAAAATAAAAAGGCTCGTGCTGGTTCTGTTCTCCAAGAATAAAAGTCGTGTTTTGTCCTTTGAAAGTCAGACTCGCTCCGGTTCTTTCATTAACACCTGAAGGCGGTGAACTCAGAGTTGAGAATTTAGGGACTGTATTGTGTAAGTTGTGCGGAGAAAGGGATGATTGGTTTAAATCCAGGACGAGGGAGTGGGCCCGGCTTGTTGTTGTACAGAGTGGGAAACAAACCAAAGCTTTAGTTTCATCAGAACGAGTTCTGTTCTCCTCCGAGACGCCGTGATGCTGCTGATCCACAGCCACGCAGAATGTGGAGCACATCTGTCAGGTTTTATGGAACTGATTTACTTTTTACTGCTCGCCCTCTGCTTGTTGGACTCAGATGTGACATTTAGATTTTAGATCGGAGCTGTTCGACTTCAGCTCTGGTAATTATCCCGACACGTGATGTGAGAAAAGCTCCATGATGTAAAGTGTTAGTTCACATTTTCTGAAGTAGAGTCCTTTGGAAAGGTTATGATAAATATCCTACTTGTTGTAGATAGCTTTTATAACAATCTCAGTTTGAAGAAATGTTGACTACAATAAATTTCAAGAAATTTTTATTCTGTACAAATTTATAAATATTTGTGTATTTTGTACCATTAATAGTACAGATTTATTTTTAAAAAATACCAATAAAAAGGCTGTAAAGTTGGTCTTTCCTGTCAAATCTCCAGTAAATTTTAATAATCTTTAGTTTTCAGCAGTTACTTATAAAGTATTGTATTTTGACCAAGGCATCTCTGCTGATCGTAAAAGTTAAAAGAAAACAAAAAGCCATGAAAATAATTTCTACAAAAAAAAACAACAAAGTATTCAACAATCTACAACCACACAAAATAAATCAGTCTTTGTCTTTGCAGATGATGTGATGTTGTGTTTGACAAATGCAGACAACAAGCTTCTACTGTTTTCCTTTAATTCTTGGCCTTTAACTAAAAAGGACCTCCAGTTTTAAATTGCTGCCCATCTTTCTTATTCCAAAGGAAACTAAAATAGTCTAAATGTTGATGTAGATTTTCTGTCACCCAGGACTGTGAAAATCATAAAATATATCAATAAACTAATAAAATAGAATATATATTTTTGGGATTATTGCTGTGTAGAATGTCATCCCCCCCCCGCCAGTGATTGTTTTAATAAAACATAGCTTATCTATAAGAATTAATAACGTGTAAATATCCTACAAATCTAAATGAACAGCAGGGTGTCGTCTGCATACGTGAATATCTTTGATTTCGTTTTAGGTTTGTTTGTAAGTTTTAATAAATGGAATGACCAGACTGAGCACACATTTGATGTTTTGGTTCAGAAACCCACCGGACTGGTCAGATGGACGACAACACCTGGTTGTTGGGTAACGTCAACCAGACCGGATACTTCCGCGTCAACTACGACCTCCACAACTGGAAACTGCTGATTCAGCAGCTCCACACCAACCCTCAAGTAAACCTGTCTGATTCTCTGTTTGTCTGGATATTTTTGTTTTTAATTTGATTGATCGTTCAAGTTTTTATTCCTATTTTATTGATTTTCCTCTTTAGGTGATCTCAGTTGGAAACCGAGCAGGGCTCATCGATGATGCCTTCAGCCTGGCCAGGTGAGCGTCCAGTCGAGTAGCTGAACCCACCTCAAACATTTGGATTGTGATGGTTTGGTACAACTACCAGTACGCTCCTATTAATATAAACTTTTTGTACTATTGGAATAAATTGCAGCACTTCAAACTGAAGCGATGTCGTGAGAACAAGAAAAACATTTAAATAGAAAATGATTTATTGCCCAAGTTTTTTCTGAGTTCTGAGCAAAGATGTTTTGAACACTGGGATATTTTTTATTGAATAAATACATAATAATTTATGCTAATTTCAATAATGATCATTCATGTGAATAAATCAATTCACTTATTCATGGGTTAAACCATTTATTCAGGGTTTTAAAGTATCTGACATTTAATTTAAAATTCAGTTTTTTTATAGCTGAATTGTTAAATTAGTTTTTGTTCTAAAATTGTAATCAAAGTGGTGGTCCAGTAATTCTTAAAGATACATTTCAGTGTTTGCTTGTGAAGAGTGGAACACAAATACATCACTATAAACATCAATTCTTTGTGTTTTGAGGATTATTTTCCTAACAGCAGATGGACTCTCGGGTCTCAAACCCCGACAGAAGGACTACTCGGTACGTTTACTCTCAGCATCGTATCTTCAAACTGCGTTCAGCTCTGCATTCAGAGCAGATCTGTCTGCAGCGTGAACAGAAACTCAACAACCTGAGCCCTCTGATGAACGAGCAGTCGGTTAGAAGGCAGCAGCTACACGCGAGACGAGCCGTTTCTCACAGCGATGCGTTTAGCCCCAAGCTTTTTGAGCACTGTAACCAAAATCTACTGTGACACCAGCTCTATAACTCAATCTACCCCCGTCTCTGTTCTCTGGATCCTCGCTCAGCCATCTGCGCTCTGTCATGTTGAATGAGCAGCGGCTCGACACAACTGTGCTGTCATCCTCTGGAGACGTGCGCTGAGGAGTTTCCATCTGTACAGAAAGAGAAACTACATATCCATTAATATGCGCTCTGACAGCTGAAGAAACTCACTTCAGCCTGAATCTGTCACTGCAGGAACTGATCATCGCTGCGCTCCGATAAAATGCTCGAGATAACAGCGTTTAGGGTTTTTTTACTCTGCAGAGTTGCTCCACGAGGAGTTCAAAAACAAGCTAAGCTGTTATTTAATAAAAATAAATGACACGTATAAGAAATTACTTTGTGGGTACACGAAAACTTTCACCGTTGCGATAGTCCAGAGAGGACAAAATCCTCATAATTAATTCAATGAAGTGTAAAATGTACAACTTAGTAGCTTAAATTACCATATTTCTGTGATACGAGTACAAAGAAAAAAGGAAAAACTCTGAATTTATGGATGTTTTTAGTGGAGGTTATCACTTCCTTTCTCATGAAAGTAAAATACCGGAGACTCCAAGACCCTGTACACACACTTATTATTTTATTCAGACATTCAGAGCAGCTTAGGCCTATTGTTCAACCGTAAAACGATCCTTAAAACAAGCTATTTAAAATCTCCAGCTACAGTTAAGACTTCTACTTCAGCTGTGGTAGATTTGTTTAGCAAAAAGTTGTTTAATATGTCCGTCATGCAACGTCTGACTCCGGGTTTTTGGTTTGCACAAACCAAAGTCATCGGTCGTGTGATGGATCCCACTCTTGACCAAAGAAAATTAAATTATAATTTTAAAAATATTAAAGCTTTGTTCCTGTGATATTTTTTCCTCAACTACAGAAAAGATAATTCTGAACATCTGGCTTTTTTTTTTTTTCTTAGATTTTCAAAGCTTTTTGAAAGCTTCAAATAAAAACAAGCTGTTCAAAATGTATCTGTCTGTACTTGACAAAGTACAGGTGCTGGTCATAAAATTAGAATATCATGAAAAGTTGATTTATTTCAGTAATTCCATTCAAAAACTGAAACTTGTATATTATATTCATTCATTACACACAGACTGATTCAAATGTTTATTTCTTGTAATGTTGATGATTATAACTGACAACTAATGAAAACCCCAAATTCAGTATCTCAGAAAAATAGAATATTACGTAAGACCAATTAAAAAACAGGATTTTTAGAAATGTTGTCCAACTGAAAAGTATGAGCCTGTACAGCATCAATACTTAGTTGTTGCTCCTTTTGTCTGGATTACTGCAGCAATGCGTCGTGGCATGGAGTGGATCAGTCTGTGTCTCTGCTCAGGTGTTCTGAGAGTCCAGGTTGTTCTGATCGTGGCCTTCAGCTCTTCTGAATTGTTGGCTCTGGTGTATCACATCTTCCTCTTCACAATACCTCATAGATTTTCTATGGGGTTAAGGTCAGGTGAGTTTGCTGGCCGATTAAGAACAAGGATACCATGGTCCTTAAACCAGGTACTGGTAGCTTTTGCACTGTGTGGTGCCAAGTCCTGTTGGAAAATGAAATCTGCATCTCCATAAAGTTGGTCAACAGCAGGAAGCAGGAAGTCTCTAAAACTTCCTGGTAGACGGCTGTGTTGACCTTGAACCTCAGAAAACACAGTGGACCAACACCAGCAGATGACATGGCCCCAAACCATCACTGGCTGTGGAAACTTGACACTGGACCTCAAGCAACATGGATTCTGTCTCTCCTCTCTTTCTTCAGACTCTGGGACCTTGATTTCTAAAGGAAATGCACAATTTACTTTCATCAGAGAACATAACTTTGCACCACTCAGCAGCAGTCCCAGGAGAGACACTTCTGACGCTGTCTCTTGTTCAAGAGTGACTTCACACAAGGAATGCGACAGCTGAAACCCATGTCTTGCATACGTCTGTGCGTGGTGGTTCTTGAAGCACTGACTCCAGCTGCAGTCCATTCTTTGTGAATCCCCCACACATTTTGGAATAAGTTTTGTTTCACCATCCTCTCCAGGGTGCAGTTATCTCTGTTGCTTGTACACTTTTTATCTACCACATCTTTTCCTTCCCTTCACCTCTCTATTAATCTGCTTGGACACAGAGCTCTATGAACAGCCAGCCTCTTTAGCAATGACCTTTTGTGTCTTGTCCTCCTTGTACCAGGTGTCAATGATCGTCTTTTGGACAACTGTCAAGTCAGCAGTCTTCTCCATGATTGTGCAGCTACAGAACTAGACTGAGACCATTTAAAGGTCTTTGCAGGTGTTTTCAGTTAATCAGCTGATCAGAGTGTGACACCAGGTGTCTTCAATGTTGAACCTTTTCACAATATTCTAATTTTCTGAGATACTGAATTTGGGGTTTTCATTAGTTGTCAGTTATAATCATCAACATTAAAATAAATAAACATTTGAAATATGTTAGGCTGTGTGTAATAAATAAATATAATATTCAAGTTTCACTTTCTGAACAGAATTTCTGAAATAAATCAACTTTTTCATGATGTTCTAATTTTATGACCAGCACCTGTATATCACATAAATAAAAGTTTTATATTTCCAATTGAACATTTTACATTTCAATGAATTAGCGATTAGTATTTTGTGTGTCATACAACCGTTGACTCCGGTTTTTTGGATTTCAAGTACCGGAGTCAACGGTTGCGATTAATACTATTGAATATGCTGAACAGATTTTTACGATACACTTTCTAAAGCGCAGGGGGGGAAATCTGGAAGTCTTCTGTAATTTGAGACTTTAACATTGTAGCTTGTCAACATTAAAATCATCAGCGACTCTGAGGCTTTGTACACAATCAGCAGAAAATTTAACTTTTTTAAGTGCTGGATGCAAAAATTCACATCGATATTTTAGCAAGATGTACTCCTGGACACACAATGCTCATGAATCTGTAAATGTGTTTTTTATGTAGAGAAAAAATCACAATCTATGGCTGTTTTCTGACACTTAAATTAAAAACAAAGAATAAAATGCCCTGAGGTTTTTAGGCTCACGAACTCAGACGTAACGTCACTGAAGTTCAGTCACATAAAACTTCTGCAGCCTTTTCCATTTTAATCTAAATGGTACATAGTTGTATCTAACAAAACATTTTGTATCTATTTAAACCCTAAATGCTGAGATATGGACAATAAAAAGATTGTCAGCTTTGTTCCTGCTCTCTGTTTATATATCGTGTGCATTGTACATTTAAAATAAATCTTTGTACTTCAGAAAATGCTCTGAGTGAAAATATTAAATAAGACTGAAAGAGCGTGGAATAAAAAAAAAGGTTAGATTCATGCAACAAATCAGTTCAGTACAAAATATATTTTCTCTGATCTTTTCACATTGCAAGTTTCTGAGTGTCATCACAACAAAATAATATTATTAGCATTTAAATTTAGTCTGGGATTTAAATATGACGTTAAACATTATTTGTCAAATGAGCAGCGTCGTCACAACCAGACGACTCTGAATTAAACTTCTTAAAACGCCTAAAATCAACTTCTCAGACGTTCATTAAGCTTTTCTTCATCGCCTGCGACAGAAACCTTTTGTTGATTCATGATGCTCTTCCTTTATGGATTGAGATCGTGTTTTCTAACGTTCTTATCGGAGGACGTGAGTTACTCGTTTTATTAGTCGAGTCGTTTTTACGGGTTATGATTTCTGCGTTTGTCGCCTGAATTTGTGTTTCAACTGTTTATTGATCCAAATGTCGAAACCGTCTCGGGTCTATCGTCACTCGTTAACACATCTGATTGTTGCTGGTTGTCTTGGCAAGTTAAATGTTTATTTTTCCGGTGCTTGGAGTGGGTCAGGTTCTGATCATCTGGTTATTAATCAGCTGATTGATTTTACCGGAGTCTGATCTAAAGACGGGGTTTGGAGCCACAAGCTGAAGGAAACTGCTGGCCTGGCTCCTTTAGGTGACAAAAAGACTGCATCTTGTTTACAGAGGTGTTATTTCAGCGTTCTGCACGCTGGGTTGATTACGCTTGGAGATATTTAATCTCAGGATTAATTTCAGCCCCACTGACTCGCCTCCTGCTCGCGGTTCGGGTGAAACGGGAGCGATCCCGAGCGCCGCTCTGTGTCGGCGTGTGTTTGTGCGGAGCCGCTCCAGCCGTAATAAATGGCCGAGTC